CCCAGGCTGAATGCTGAACCTCAGAGGTAACTTCACCACTGAGCTAAAAGGGTGTCTGGGGGCCATACTCTCGGGGTTTCTCCAGTCTCCTTTAGGTCAGTAAATCTGGTCTTTCTTTTTTGTGAGTTAGAATTATGTTCTACATCCTTCTCCAGCTCTCTCCAGAACCCTCTGCTGTGATCCTGGTCAGAGCAGTCAGTGGTGGTAGCCGGGCACCATCTCCATCTAGCTGTACTGGACTCAGGCTGGTGGAGGCAGAAGACACTACCATGTTTTATTTTCCTTTCCTGAAATGCAGTTCCTGGCTATATTGTATTCAGAAGCTTCATGAGCCATCTTCTGTGGCTTATGATAAATCTTTAACTGCTTCTTATATCAGGTAAAGCAGTCTGTTTCCAAGTGAAAACCCCCTGGCATCATGTATTTGCTACAGATGATTTTCACTCTTGGATTCTTTATTCCAACTCCATAATCCATATGCTGCTTACATTAGGCCAGCTCATATATCAAAGGATCTCTTTAGCTGAGTCACAGTGAGTCCTGTGCATTCTGAAAGAGAACACATGAAATTTTTAGCCTCGGCCTGCCCAGGTTACTCAACAGGCTTAGCCCTCTTCCTCCTGTTACCGTCACTAAAATAGGTTCAGTTTTTCTGCCTTTCTGAAGCCTACATCTTATTCCTTATGCCAGGGATTGGAATTTACTTCCCCTCACTTTGATGCATTCCAGCTGAATCATCAGAACCACACCATCCCTTGGTAGCCACTTGTCTACCAGGTATATTGGTTTCACAAAGCAAGTCTTCTCCTGAAAAGGTCCTCTCCTTGTCTTAGCCACATGAAAACTGAATATATTCTCTTTCTTCCCTGCCCTTTGTCTCCTGGCCTTCTGTTAGTCTCACAAAAGACAAAATGGGCATACCAGTGTAAAGTTTCAGAGGAGAGTCTCTGGAGTCAGGCAATCTGGGTGTGAATCCCGTCTCTACCAACTTTTTAATCTAAATGATCATTTCACTTTTCTTAGTTTCTTTTTCTCACTTGTACGAGGAGAGTCATAAAAGTACTGATTTTATTGGGGTATTTTGTATACTGCTTCACTGGGTTGTGTTATGTATTTAGCCTGTTTTTTGGCACATACAGAGATCAACAGATGTTTGCTGCTGAGTCCCCGCCCCCACCCCTTTTGGCCATAGAGTGTAAAGAATGTTAAAGCTGGAGGAGACTTTAGGCGTCATCTGGTTTGACCCCAGAGATGAGCAAACACATATGTAGAGAGTGCTTTGGGCAGTACCTTACTTAAAAAACGTCCTGTTTTTGGAACACCTTAAAGGAAAAGGTCCTATCGCTCCCTCTACTAACACCTTCCAAAGACTTCCAAACACACACACACACACACACACACATTTGTTTTAAAGAAAATGGAAAAGGAAAGATATCGATGATATATTGTTTAGTGAAAAGTTGGTGAATCGATGTAAACAGACATTTTAAGATGCAGAAAAATTGGGTGGGAAAACAACTCAAATGAATTTCTTTATAAGTGACTTTACACTTAGCAAAACTAGCATAATAAAAGAGTAATTAAGAGTGAAGATCTTGGCAAACCAAATGCGAATGATCGCAACATATATTGTTAGGTTTAAATGACTAAAAATCTAAGCAGATTAATTTTATACTTATTGACATAAGAATTGCTGAATGTTTATGGAGACTATTTTATGTGTTTAGATGAGTCATAAAATGCCAACGTGTCTGCTGCAGGTAATAAATTTAGGGGCTCTAATAAACAGGTTCAGGAGACTCATTGACCTGGGTTTATCTGCTTTTTCCATACACTTGTGCCTGCTGATTGAATACTGAATCCAATACTCCGTACTTTTATGTGTGGGAGGGAGAAATGAGGAAGATAGTATCAGAGGTCCCAGAAATTTTTAAGGTGTATTTATTTTTGAAAAGTTAGTACTGATTGGAATGAGAATGGAATTTGTAATAGCAAATAGGTGAGTAATGAAGCATATTTTCAAATGGTTTTTCATTTAAAATAAAAAATCTTTCATCCCTTTCAGCGGCCTTTGTCTCTGGGAGCTGATATTTGCATGTATTCAGCAACAAAATATATGAACGGTAAGATAGGCACAGTCTATACTTTGAAAGTTCTTTTCCATGGGTAAATGAAAATAGCATAGGGCTTGACAATTTGATCCCTTTTCTTCTACTTTTATTCAGATTTTCTCTGTGCCTCATGTGGAAAGAAAAAAAAAGTTCTGATTAAATATGGGATTTCACTTATAGTAGAGAAACTAGTCTCATTATTTAGAAGGAGAGGATTAAAATTTACTATAGAAGTTTATATTTTTAACTGGATGATGGCTTAAAAAGAAGCATTTACTTTTTATATGATTTTTATTTTATCATTTTATGTATTGCTTTTGCTACTATTAAATTGAATCGAATTTACTTAGCCTTATTTTATAGGGCTTTTTCTCTGAGAATTTTTTTAAGCGAAAGTCACTTTAAAAAAAAATAATAAAATGAAGTATAAACAGAAATTGTTTAACTTAACATTTATTTTTTTTTGCTTATTTGTTACAGGCCACAGTGATGTTGTAATGGGCTTAGTGTCTGTTAATTCTGAGAATCTCCATAATAGGCTCCGTTTCTTACAAAACTGTAAGTATTAAGAAGTCCAGATTCCCCCTCTGCTCACAAATATCTTTGATATTTACATGTCCTCTAAGTGTTGTGAAATGCTAGCATTCTAATACTTTGTGAAGAAATGAGAAATAGAGGCAGATAATTCTGATTTTTAGAGGAAGTCGAAAAAATCGAATTATGAAAATATTATAGTTTAAGCACACTTTTACAAAAGGCTTTACGACATAAGGAAAGAGTGGTGTTATTTTCATATCCATGTTACCTTGGATCATAATTTGGTAAAGCTCAAGTACATTTTTAGTTTTAAGACTTAATGGATTTTTTTCTTTGTAAAAAAAATTTGAAAAAATGGCTTCCGTGTACTATGCCTTTTATATCTGGAATGGTAGTTAATTTTAAATAGTACTTAAGGTAAAGACATATTTTTCAATAGATGTCTAAACACCATTTCCTGTTTGTATTGTCTGGCTTTTCTTAAGTATGGATAAGGGTTTATTTAAAGAGATTTACAATTGGCAGACAGGTAAGATGAAAACATAATTAGGAATGAAAATACTCTTCTAGGAAATAGGAATTAAAGTGAAAGGGACACTAAAGAGAGAAACCAAAACTTATTGCTCGATAAATGTTGTTTATTTATAAAAAGTAGGAATGAGGTGTACATGCCTGGAGGCATGTGCAATCATAGGCTGCTTCAGACAAAGGCTAAATAGAATGTTGTGTAGAACATTTATTAACAATGGGAACTGAACTGCTATTTTTCTCTTTATATTCTAATACTTTTTCAAAGAAATGCAGGGTTAAACTGCACTATGTCATTTCATTAAAATCATAGAATATTCACTATGAAGGGACTATTTATATTCATATTTGAAAAGTTCGTATCTTTATGTTTGTATTAAAGAAACAAAAAACAATTGTCCGTTAAGTTTATTCTGACTTATGGCAACCCCGTGTGTGTCAGACCATGTGCGTCAGAGTAGAACTGTGCTCCATAGAGTTTTCAATGGCTGATTTTTTGGAAGTAGAATGCAAGTGTTTATATTTAGTTTCTTCTGAATGTTTATATTTAGTTTTAATATATTTGTTTCTCCTCCAATTTTAAAGCATATTTCTCTAAGTGCATTTTACGCTTCATTCTTATGCTTCTGATTTGAAACATTACTTTTTCCTTCTGAAACTTAAAGTCCAAACTTATTGGACTTTGTAGCTACCGTCTCAAAGCCACAATAATGAAAAAGAGGGGTTAGATTTTTCTGGGTTAACCCCTCCCTAAAACTAACCCGGGATGTGTTCATTTTGCAGCTCTTGGAGCAGTTCCATCTCCTCTTGACTGTTACCTCTGCAATAGAGGTCTGAAGACTCTACATGTACGAATGGATAAGCATTTTGAAAATGGAATGGCAGCTGCTCAGTTTCTGGAATCTAATCCTCGGGTAGAAAAAGTTGTTTATCCTGGTATGTTAATCTGATTTCTAAGCAGATATGCCTTGGACTAGGATTCTAAGGATTATTCTAAGCATCCTGTTTATGTAGCATTTATTTGTTAGTTGGGTGCTTTTCATATAATTTCATGTTGTTCATTTATTATTGAACACTGTTATGTGTCACGCACTATGGTGGGTTAGGTGATAAGGAAGACAGACATGGTCTCTGGCCACGTGTTTCCTATAGTCTAGTGGGTGACTGGATGTTAGAAAACTAGTCTGTAGCTTGTGTACTGCTATTCCAAGTTTGCTGCACTGATTGTACTTTCCAGTTGATTTACTTATAATAATCTTGTCAGTCTGCTATTTTGCATTAGCTATAACTTTTATCTGGTATAGGTTTGTCCCAAGATGAGACTTGCTATGTACCCACTAAAATTCTCCTGAAGCTCTCATGCTTTCTTTTTGAATTCCTTCACCTCCCCCAGCATCTAGAAATGTACATGTGGAAAGAGTTAGCAGACTTACATGTTACTCTTGGAATTTACTTTTTAAGCCCTTTAATCTATGACAGTCTAAGTACCTAAGTCAATAACTATTTTAGATTCTTTTGGAGTATCTATCCATGTGGTCTTGGGTATATAGGAGTACTAAGACTGGTCCCTATCCTTAAGGAACCTAGATAAGCCAAGGCAGAAACAGAGAGATTAAATGTCCTATTGCACTCTATGTAAAGAGCTGTTGACTGGTATATTTTGAATGGAGGGAAGAAAAAGAGTTTGAGCTGGGCCCTGAAGAATGGGTAGCATTTGGAAGAAGGGCATTGACAAGGCATTTCAGATTCATTCAACAAATGTTTATTACATGTTAACAATGAGATAAGCTTGTATTAGGAGCTGGGATCGAATTATTAGCAAAAGAAACATAGATACCTCCCCATGGAGCTAGTCCAATGTATTAGACAGATATTAAGCAAAAAATTGAAGAAGGATATAATTATAAACTGTAAATTTATAAGGAGGGTGGCCATTGGGGAGAGTGTTCCAGGTTAAAAGGAATGTGCATGGGCAAAAGTTCTAAGATGAAAGAGAGTGTGGTGCCGTTGGTAGAAAGATAGCTGTGTGGCTAGAGCATAGTGAGGGTAGAAAAGATGAATCAAAATGAAGCTGGAGAAATAACCAGGGGCCAGAGTAAGTAGTCAGGTGTGAGTATGGCACAAAGCTCATTATGAGTCTTATTTGCAGTTTACTTAAGCGGACAGTGAAATTTTTTTTCCTTAAATTAGATGCTTGACTCTGTCTTAGTTATCTAGTGCTGCTAAAACAGACATACCACAAACAGATGACTTTAACAAACAAATTTATTTTCTCACAGTTTAGGAGTCCAAATTCAGAGTGCCAGCTCAAGGGGAAGGTTTTCTTTCTCTGTCAGCTCTGGAGGAAGGTCCTTGTCTCTTCAGCTTCTGCTTCCTGGTTCCTTGAAGATCTCCAAGTGTCTTGGCATCTATCTTACCCCATCTCTTTCTCTGCTCACTTATTTAATCTCTTTTTATATCTCAAAAGAGATTGACTCAAAATCCTGCATCATTAACATAACAAAGACAACCCTCCCAAATGGGATTATAACCACAGGCATAAAAGCCGAATACCCAATGCATGGCCGTCGAGTCGATTCAGACTCATAGTGACCCTATAGGACGGAGTAAGACTGCCCCACAGGGTTTCCAAGGAGCAGCTGGTAGATTCGAACTGCCAGCCTTTTGGTTAGCAGCCGAGCTCTTAACCACCGCGTCACCCGGGCTCCAATCACAGGCATAGAGGTTAGGATTTACAACACATATTTTTGTAGTGATGTAACTTAATCCATAACAGACGCTGAAGTAAGCCTTTATTATGCCTTAATTGTAGGACTACCCTCTCATCCACAGCATGAGTTGGCAAAGCGTCAGTGTACAGGTTGTCCAGGGATGGTTGCCTTCTATATTAAGGGCACTCTTCAGCATGCTGAGACTTTCCTCAAGAACTTAAAGGTAAACTTTCAAAATAGGTTTTTAAATTGTAGAGTAAGACTTTCTTCAAACCAAACCAAACCTGTTGCTGTTGAGTCAATTCAGACTCATGGCGACCCTATGTGTTACAGAGTAGAACTGCTTCATGGTGTTTTCTTGTCTGTAATTTTTACAGAAGCAGTTTGCCAGGACTTTCTTCCACAGCAATGCTGGGTTCATTCAAACCATCATCCTTTAAGTTAGCAGCTGAAGCAAACCGCTTGCACCACCTAGGGACCTCCTAACTTTCTTATAGCAGTTCATTCTGTCTCCCATCCTACCCAGATTAATGTTTTTGTATGTGCAGGTCACACTAATAAAACCTTTTTATCATGAAATTCATTGAGTTGGAAAGTGGCATGAAACAATAATGGCACAGTAACAGATATCTGAGTATGTTCATTTGCTTAACTCTCCACATACCACAATCAGTTTGTGAGAGATGGCATATTCTAATGCATGGGTTTTCCCACGTTTATTTAAAAATGAATCCTTTTTACAAATGAAATATTTTGTGAAACCTACAAGTATTGTGCGATTAGAGCAATACATAAAGTCTATTCTGAAATCCAGTGGAGCAATGGCTTTCTAAAGCCTGTGCTCCCAGGCCACATCTGCTTGGGGTTCGGGAAGGAGAGCTTTATTTCTAATTTGTACAAAAGTAGGACACTCTCAGGGCCCTGGGTGAGAGGCCTGTGTAACTTTATAATCTAGGTTTACCTTGAGCCCCTACAATAGACTCTCAGTTTTAAATACTACAGAGCTAATCCTGGGTGATGCAAATGGTTAATACATTCAGCTGCTAACTGAAAGGTTGGTGGTTTGAGTCTACCCAGAGGTGCCTTGGAAGACAAACCTGGCAATGTATTTCCAAAAACTCAGCCATTGAAAATCCTATTGAGCACAGTTCTACTCTGACACGCACAGGGTTGCCATGAGTCGGAATCGGCAACTGGTAAGTGGTAATGAATAGAATAAATAGAATGCTGCTAGGGTAGTCAGAGCCACCCTAGTGTCTCAAATTTGTCCACCTCTAAAATCAGAATGATAGTAATATATACCTAATTTAGTGTAATTGTGAGAGATATGTTAAAAACATTCATAAAATTCTATGGTACTGTAACACTAAATACAAGAACTATGTTTTTTTTCTCTACTCCCCTAGAGGGTTAAGTGGATGTATTAATTTAATAAGTGATACATATTAACAAGTAAGTATGTATAATTTTGTAAATATTTAGAGATTTTTATTTAAAAGGTAACCACAGGGCTAGGTCTCGAATGCAATATTCTGGCTTTTAGAGCTCATGTTCCGTATTAAGAATAGGGCCAAATCAGGAAGGTATAGGAAATTCACTTTGATCAACTTTTAATATTTTAAGTTTACACATAATATGTCTAACTGGTGAAATCGTTGTTAGAGATTTTATTCTCATTTTTGCTCTGAGTTTCTTGCTTAATTTGCAGTGTATTCATAGTCACTACTGTTCCCCATCCTCTGCCCCAGGGCCATTTTATTTAAAATCTTTATTTTTTAGACTTTAGTATTTTTATTTTACCAGAAGATTGAAATTAATGTTTTGTTTGCTGTAGATATTTACTTTGGCTGAGAGCTTGGGAGGATATGAAAGTCTTGCTGAGCTTCCGTGAGTATATTTCTGTTTTTCTCAGTATTTTAACTTTGATGTCAGTTTTAATGATTGTTTGGGAAATGAATCTGATAAAATCAGGGGTAACTCAAGTTACTTAACAGCAGGATGTCTCTGACTAATCAGAATTGACTCTAGCACAGTGAGAATGGAAAAAAAACAAACCAAACCGGTTGCCATTGAGTCGGTTCTGACTCATGGCAATCCCATGTGTTACAGAGTAGAACTACTCCATAGGGTTTTCTTGTCTGTAATCTTAACAGAAACAGATCTCTAGGCCTTTCTTTCATGGTACCACTGTGTGGGTTCAAACCCCTAACCTTTAGGTTAGTAGTTGAGCACAAACTGTGCCACCAGATCTAATGGTGGGCTACTTATGAGTGAGCTGCATCCTTCCATGTTTTGCTTGCTTTCCTGTTCTACCTGAAAGAGATCCCAGCAGTAATTGCAGCCTAGGATCTCTGACCTCTGATCCAAGGCCACGTGCTATACCCTACTCAGCTTGGTTAGAGATTACTGGAAAAGCTGATTTCAAGGCTCCCTGAGAAACAGAGAATGTGTCTCTGATAAAACACCTCCACACCCTTGGTTATCAGAGAAGAGTCCTGCTAGACACTGGGAAATCCATTTATTTTCTGTTCTCTGTGGAATAAAGATATGCCATGGCTCCATTGTTGTCCATAAAATAAATCCAAAATCTGTCTTGGTATTCCAGGCCCTTGACTGGTCGATTAATCTAATTTTATCAAAGCACCAAAGGATATTAGAATAGAGAGCAGTCTAAGATAGTGCAGTCCCACACTATATTTTATAGACAGAGAAACAAAGATCCAGAAAGGTTAGCTGGTTTACGCAAATGTTACACAGGGATATGATAAAAAATAACACGGAAATTTGTTAGCAACTTCACACTTAAGGCTTTGTATCAGAAACAGTGATAGGAGGCAAAAGGAGCCAGCATCTGGATTTGAGACCTGGTTCTACCAATTGCTTAACCTTTGAACCTCAGTTTTTTAATCCATAAAATGGGGTTAATCATAAAAACAATGATTATAATTTACTGATTACCTCTCCCATCAAACACTCCTGAACTGCATCTTTATTGTATGTTACTATGCCCTGGTGGCGGAGTGGTTAAGAGCTCAGCTGCTAACCAAAAGATCAGCAGTTCAAATCCACCAGTCACTCCTTGGGGCAGTTCAACTCTGTCCTATAGGGTTGTTATGAGCTGGAATCGACTCAACGGCACACAACAACAACAACAGGACAATATATTGTAATTATTGCAGGGGTAAATCAACACCATTACCTAATAATTTTCATCTGTACTCATGCACATGGGATGTTTCTATGTTTTAATTTTCATAAAAATTTGTGGAATAACTATGTTCTGGAAGCACTGTGTTGAGGAATGTTACCAAAATTTGGGTACATTTCCTGCCCTCTCATAATAGTTTACAGTTTATGGGGAGAGGTCAGGCAGTTTCACAAAATTAAAAACAATAAGATGCCCAAATAATGAATCAAAATAATTGAAACAACACATACAGCTTTCTATCAGTCTTCCCAGAAGATTCCTGCTAATAAATCTGGATGCACAAGAGGGCACACTCAGCATATAAAATGGGCTTATTTTTCATAGCAATAAAATGTGTAATAACTTTAAGGTTCTGTTCTGATATATTTAGGGATTTGCTTCAACTTGCTTGGCCCCAGACGCTCCAGCTTAGGCTATAACCCCAATGCCAGTGGACAAGTGAGTTGAGATCAGGGCTTGTCTGTTCTATTGCCCTTCATTCTGTGTCTCCCAACTCTGCTGCAACTAGTGCAGCATTGAAATAAGGGAGGAAGGAAGCCGAGCCAAAGTGTACTAAGCTGGTCAGCCTAACAGCACATATTAGCTCTGTGACCTTAGAAACATTACCTATTCTATGTCCAACTTTCATCAAATGTAGGTAATACTGTATGAGAACATGGGGAAAAAATCCTGAAACTAATGCCTTGGTTTCTACTAAATACCCAATAAGTGCTAGCTACTACAATGAATTATTTTTATTAGGGATCTGCTACATTCCAGGTACTTATAAGTGCCTTATACATGTTCCTTAAATTAATGCTTGTTCCAAACTTCTGAGATAGATTTTAATTAACCAATTTTTATTCATTTTAAAAAAGAACTAATGCACATAAATCACCTAGGTAGAGTACCTGCCTCATGACAAGCATACAGTATTACCCCACTTGCCATTGAGTAGATTCTGACTCATGGTGACCCCATGTGTGTTAGAGTAGAACTGTGCTCCATAGGGTTTTCAATAGCTGATTTTTTTGTTTGAAAGTAGATCACCAGCCCTTTCTTCCAAGTCACCTCTAACCTTTCTGTTAGCAGCCAAGCTTGTTAAATGTTTGCACCACCCAGGGACTCCAAGCGTACAGTAAGTGATAGCTATTATTATTTCAATAAAAAATTAGGCTCTGAGGACAGGTAACTTTCACAAGTTCTCACAACCAGTATGTGGAGCAGCTGGGATTCATACCCAAGTCTGTCAGTTTCTGAAGCTTAAGTTCTTATTTCTATATGTGCACTTTCTTTAAAGGAATTAAGAGCCTGATCAGGGCAGAACATTTTAAGGAGGATACTGGTGTGTAAAAACTTCATTATGATAAAAGAAGATACCCATTTACTTTGACCACAGCTGAGCTTTTCTTTCCATGGGTCTGAAGTGAGATAGGAGAAAACAGCTTAGATAGTACTTTTGCTGGTGGTGTGGAGGGAAAAGATGAGTGTTGGCAGCAATATACGAGTTAGGGCTTAGTGAGGCTACAAGCCTCTCCTTTATGATGCGTCTGCCCACAGAGATTGCTAAACTGATTTGGTATTTGTTATCAACTATTCTGTATTGTGAGTTGTCATAGTCTTTAGCTCCCGCTTCATAATCTAGGGGAAAGAAAGTATCGCATTCTTTTTGGTTTCCAAATCTTACTCTAGTACCTGACACATACTAGGTGCTTTACCTTTGCACATGTTGATGATGACAGTGAGTTGCTAGATAGTTTGGAAAATCCTTCAGGGTCTCTATGTCATTGGTTATACACTGGGATTCCTCCTGCAAACTAATAATCCTGGGTGGTCTTTCCCTGATCTGCCTCAGAAGGTCCAGCTCTGGATTGATCTGTTGATGCAGAGAGAATTAATTCTGGCAGGCTCTTGGTCTAAGAGGCCTCATGTAAGTCTGAGTTTTGGGTAGCTGTCCAGCAGGGTTAGTCATGAGGTGTGTGACTTCTTGCCAAACTGTGTTTCAGGCAGGTCTTAAAATCCACACCCAGGTGGCTGTGCCTTTTTTGCCTGCATGGGGTGCTTGACTAGCACCTTTCGCTTCTGGATTGAGCATGCCTTACCCACAGATGAAAGATCCTGGTTTTCACTTAGAATTGTGATTAGAAGAGATACTTTTAATAATTCCTCATTTTTGCCTGTGAAAAACTATGGGGAAGAACAAAGCATTTGCTATTTGGAATAGAAGAAAATGGAAGCTAATTACAGTGCATGAGACATAAATATGCCTCCATGGACCCAATATGGTGATCAGAAACATGCTTGCTCTTTCTTTCAGGGCAATCATGACCCATGCATCCGTGCCAGAGAGTGACAGAGATGTCCTTGGAATTAGCAACACATTGATTCGACTCTCTGTGGGCTTAGAGGATAAAAAAGACCTACTGGAGGATCTAGATCAAGCTTTGAAGGCAGCAGTAAGTTTTATTATTATTATTATTATTTGTGTGTGTGTTTGTGTTTTAACTTGGGGAGTGAGGGTCACTACGTTGATAATAAGTGGATGAGTGATTTCACTGTGAACATCAAAGTTTTTCTCTTGCTACAATAGACAGGATGTATAAACGGCTGATAGTATTCAGAGAAGACTTCTTGTAGGAGATGAAGTCTTTGCCTGCAGATTTAATAACAAACTTTTCTTGTCCATGTTAATACAGCACCCTCCAAGTCACAACTAGCATTCTAGAACTGCTGTTAGAAGCTGCTTCTTGAGAAGATCACATCTGAATAATCAAATGGAACATTAATGAGCCTTCCCAGAATTTTCAAGTGAAAATTTTAAAGCACCTCATTACCTTTCGAAACTGTACCTTTCCAGGGATCATCTGTGTTAAAAACAGGTTCTTGTTTCTCTTATTGTAATTGACAGATCAATTCTGTTAATATCTTTTTCTTTATTTTGCTACCCATTTGAGTTTGAAGGATGTGAGATTTGTGCTGCTTCTGGGGATCATGTTCTTTTCTTCATAGCCTAAGATATATTTTGATCATATTTACAATACAATGGTAATTCATTTTTGGTGATTTCTGAAGAATTTAAATTATTAAATGAATGTTCTTAAATCAGGTGTGAGTTTTGCGTATTGTTGGAAACAGCGAAGGTTTACACTTTATTACCATAAGCCAAAAATCAAACACTTGAAACGTCTACTGTGAATTTCTACTGATTTAAGTCTGTACTTAATATTTTTTTTTAAAAGTTTTTTATTGTACTTCAGGTGAAGGTTTACAGAACAAATAGTTTCTCATGAAACAGTAGTACACATATTGTTTTATGACATTCGTTAACAACTCCACG